TAATTTTAAGTATTATAAGATTATTATAAGATATAATTTTAATAATTTTATTACTATCTTTAAGATTATAATAAATTAATTGGAAAAAATTAGCATTTTTCTGTAAAGTAGGCCTGACCTGACTACAAAATCTTGGGTTGAACCCAGCCCATTTCGCACTCTAATTAGATATAATATAATTTCTCTCTCTTTCTCTCTCTCCAATTTTTATAAAAAAAATTTATAACGATTATTAAAAATTTAAATTTGTTATAGTTATTGTATGGATATTTAGATGCAAATCATCTAACTCTTCCTGTAGATCTCTAAAACCAATTTCTTTAAACAAATAAATTAAATTTTCTTAAAATTTTACTAAGTTAGCCTACTTTCGGCTTCTAAATAAACTTCTTCTACTTAAAATTTTGCCCCTAAGCAATATAAAATTTATCTATATTTTTAATTCTATACAAAACTATTTTGTAATTTTCTAAAAATTAGTACTCTTTATGAATTTTTTTTAATTTCTTAAAATTTTACTAAGTAAATCTAATTTCAACTCCTAAACAAACTTATTTTACTCAATTTTCTGCTTCTAGATGGTATACTGTTAACAAAAAATCAAACCTCTTTACAAAAAATTTTTTATATTCTTCTTTAAAACGTACATCTTAATTTTCTCAATAACTAACAAATAAAGCTTATATTCTTTTAAGCTAGATATATTCAGCTCACTGAAACGAACATTTTGATATAAATTTTATCAAAAACGGACCAAAACTTACAAACTTATTGAAAAATTCCTTTAAACTTTCTTCTAAACTTTTTTCTAAAATTCTATTGGTTAATTTCGGAAATTTTACTGGCTTGTCCCGGAAAATTCACTTTTTTTATTTTAAATACCCATTAAAAAATCTGAAAATCTCTTACATAATTCTGGAAAACTTACCAGTTTTTTAGAAAATTTACTGGCAATTTACAAATCCTTAAATATCTCGCTTACTTTCTAAGATTTTTAAAATCTTTCTTCATAACACTATATAAATTTATACCTTCTCTACACAATAAACAACTTATTTTTATATCTTTTATATCAAAAATATACAAAAAATTACAATTTAAAATCTTATCTTAAAAATTTTTTACCTCTTTTTTTTCTTAACTATAAACACTGGTTCTTTTATATTCTTTCTTTTTCTTTTATCTAATTATTAATTCTTTTATATACAAATGGAACAACAAAACTTACATCTATCAAATACACCAATTACACAATCTTTACCACTCTTAGACTGGTTTGAACAATATCCTGTCTCTACAAATCAAATATTATATACTACTCTAACTCCATTTGGTTTCCAAACCTTTAATTACTTAAAACCAATACTTAAAGATTTTTATCTTGGCTCAACAATTAAATCTTCAACTTCCAATCAATTCAATTCAACCAATCAACCTATTTACAAAAATAACTTTAAAAATTTACTTATAACTTTAAAAAAAGAAAAACCCAAATTCCTTATCAATTTTATTTTAAAACAATACCTCTCTATAAATGATCAAAATTTAATACCATCTCAAATACTACACTCTATACTTGAAACACTAATACTTGGCCTTACCAAATGTATTTTTGAATCCCAAAATTACAAAAACTTCTTTAATTCTCAATATCTTTTACCCCTATATTCAATTAACAAACGGTTTCAAATTGCTATAAATCTAGCAAGATTACATCTTTTTTTACAAAACAAATATTAAAATATCAATTACAAAAAATTTTTTCAAGATTTAATTCTTAAACCTCTTAAATTACAAATACACTTTCATATAAAACATAATCAAAAAAATTTACCTTCTTTTCAAATTAAAAACAATCGTAAATTTCATATTAATATAACTCTTAACATCTTATCAAAAAAATTTTTAAATACTTACTATATTCCTTCCTTTTCTTTATTCCTTACACAATTTGATACATGGTTTAACAAATTCTACAAACATTACTCTATACAATTCAATAATATTAATGAGAAAAAAGTTTATAACTATATCAAATTTCAAATTATTTTTCAAATTAATAGTAAATACAAAAAATTACTACCTCAACAATTTCCCTTTCCTAAAATTTTTACTTTAAAAAAACGAACTCAAACCTCTATCAAAGCAGCTCTACATTATTTGTACAACTATACAAACAACAAAAAATACAAAATCTTAAACTCTGGAACTACTCATAATCTCCATAATTTAACTACCCTTTACTTTAAACAATCTTTCCAACTATCTCCAGTTATTTATTATACTTTTCCAAATCTCAACTTCTCTATTTTTCAAACCAATCAACCTTACAAAGCTACTTTTAATACACCCTTTCCTTTTGAAAAACTCTATAATCTGGCAAATGAAGCAAAACAAAAATTTACTCAACTAAATCAAACACCAACTAATTCCAAATGTATTTCTTTCTTTTTCTACTTCTATTTCAAGGCCTATTTAAAAGCAGCAGTATACAATGACAAAATTATAGAACTTAATCTTATAGAAGCTCTGCACAAACTTACAACCTTATCAGCTGACTCACAAATCCTAACTAGAATTATAGCTTACTATGATATCATACAATTCTCAAAAAAACTCAACTAAAACTAAATCTCAAACAATTATATCTTCAGCAAGCAGAAAAATTTATTACTCAAAAATTTAAACTTACTACTCCAAATATAACTAATAATCTTTTTTCTACTCAAATTCAAATTCCAAATATCGACGATATTGATGAATCTCTTTTATTTAAATTTAAACAACCATATCTTTTTTCAAACTCTATTTCTATTACAAACAACTATTTTAAAACTACTATTTAACTTTCTTTTAACCTCTTTTTACTCTCAACTTCATTATTATTACTCACTATCTAATTAGGTTTTCTCTTACCAAATTCACTTTTAAAATCCTTATTAATATTAATATTATCTTTGGGTTTAAAAGTTAGATAAAATAGAGATGTAGTATCATACTGGGTGCCTAAATTCTTTTTAGTTTTAGTAACACGAGTGTTTTAGAATTATTTAACAGATCTTAACTATATATTATAATATATAAATACTGTATTGAGTTATTCTATATCTTAATAAAGTTTCTAATATTGACACAAAAAAAAAAAAAAAAAGTTGCACCCAGATATCCATATAATAACTATATTATTGTATGGGTTTTATATAACAATTCGTGTATAATTGATCAAAAATATGATGAAGTATAAGAAAGTATAAATAAAAGTTTAATGTGAGAATTTTTTTGTTAAATCGGTGATGCAATCACTAACTAATATAAATACTATTTACCTTTGATTACAATTTTAAAATAACTTTTTCCTAAAATGTCAAACAGAGCTTTAACGACCGATAATCCAGAAGCACAACAACTAATAAATTTCTCTTATGTTATGAATACAGAAAAAAACACCTCAAAGTGGCTTTGCCATGTTGATCAATATCGAAATAAGAAAAACATTGTCAAGACTTTGGATGAATTTGATAACAAACCTGAACTTGACACATTTCTTAGTTCATTTATTGGATGGCTTTCTAAAAAGGATGGAAGTTCTTTTAAGGTAGAATCTGTCTATAATTGTTACTCTTCCTTAGCAAGGTATCTCTGTGAAAACTCAAAAATTGAAAGTGGTGTTCGAATTTGGGATAAATACTCCTTCCCCAAGGCATTACGTTGTCTAGATAGTAAAATGAAAGTATTACAGAATGATGGATATAGTGATACAGATAAAAGTGATTCTTTAACAGTAGATGAGATTGTTTCATATTTGAATCATAATTATCTTTCAATTGAAAACAATAAAGGGTTGCTTCGACATGTTTTTTTCTGGTTATCATTGCTCTGTGGATTGCATGGTGGAGACACCTATAAATTAGAATATTGGGATCTTGAACAACGAGAGAATTGTGGTTTGCAACTAAGATTTAGACAAGAAAAGAATAATTAGGATAGAGTTTTGTATAGATAGTGATATGGATATACAGGAACAAGAACTATTCTAATACCACCTGATATCAAAGATAATCAATTTACACCTATTGCTGATCTTCTTCTTTATTTGTCAAAGCGACCTTTTAAATGTGCCCCTACTGACTCTCTGTTTTTGCAAACAACCAGAAAGCAAACAGGTATATGCATATGCATTTTTATCTGATTATATTTCAGTGTTTACTAAAAATATTTTTATTGTAATAATAAGATTTAGCTAAAGAGGTTTGGTATAAACCTGTTACTATGGATGCAAATAAATTAAAATCAATGTTGCAGCAAATAGCTATCAATACTGAAATAAACCTTGATGGCAATTGAAAAATTACAAACCATAGTGCCTGTTATACTGCTATTATGATATTAAAAGCAGCTGATGTTCCAAAAGATGAAGCTATGGTGTTTTCAGGACATCGCTCTCGAGAAGGAATTTATTCATATAGCAGCCCAATTGATGATCAACGATTGTCATCTACTGCATTATTAATTCCCTATACAGCCTATAATGAGGATCTTGAATTGTATTACTCTTTTCTAGAAGATTCTCATTGTTATGTTGATTTTGAATCTAAGGATAACGAAGGTATATACAAATGTAATAATAACACTATAAAAAAATCTTTTAAATTAACATTTAACATCATTTATTTTTATACTATGATAATGTTGTAGAGATTCCAAACCCAAATACTAATGCTAAATCGATTCCAAGTCAAGAATCTTTAAATTCTACCTCTAAATCACCTATTCCGGCAATTTCAAGTATTTATTATTATTATTATTTTATTACTTTTTACAATATGCATTACTAATTAATTTAAAATTTTCTTTATTTTAGACAAAGTCTTTTCTAAAAAAAAATAAACATTTTCAAATTTAAATCCTAAGCTCACAGCTCCCTTTAAACTTCCTATAAATTGATAAGTATCCAAATCAGCAGCAACGAACAATTCAAGTAATGGATAATGAAAAACAAATGACTCAGGAAAAGAGTAATGACGTGCAGGAACAAGCAATGAATGAAGAACAAGTAGTTCAAGCAAAGGACAACAATTATAATTAAGTAAAAAAACATCATAAAGAACATGGGGTATTGCAACAAATCATAAATAATATAATTATTCAAATTTCCGATACTAGCAAATCCCTTGATATTAATTTGAAAATTTCTTTAAATAATCGATTTGAATTTTTACAATGTTTTATTTTAAATAAATAAAATTATATTTTCATGCTGATTACTATTTTAAAGGCATTTGACCAATATATATTTTCATCCAGATATCATAATAACAATTTTTAAAGTCTAATAAATGCACCGGTATGAATTTTATGAAAAATAATATTCACACGGGTCTATGTGATAATCACATGATTTTCATATAGACCCATGCGAATAAGCTTTCAAAAAAAGTACGGGTTGTTACATAAGACCTGTACAATAAATCTATCTTATTTAAATATCTACTCTAATTTATACTTAATATTTTAAGGTTATTGCTTTATTTCAATATCAAAATTGAATTTAAAGCCAATAAGATTATATCAAATATCTAGATGTTTCAGCGTAGAGTTCTTGCAAAGTGCATCGGCTAATGCTCTTCCTCCTTCTGATCCAATTTAATTACAATAGAGATCTAACATTGTTAAGGAGGTATTCTTGCAAAGTGCATCGGCTAATGCTTTTTCTACTTCGGATCCAAGATTATTATAACGGAGGTTTAACGTTGTTAAGGAGGTGTTCTTGCAAAGTGCATCAGCTAATGCTTTTCCTTCTTTTGATCCAAGATCATTAGAATGGAGATTTAACGTTGTTAAGAAGGTGTTCTTGCAAAGTGCAGTAGCTAATGCTTTTTCACCTTCTGATCCAATTTTATTATCATAGAGTTCTAACGTTGTTAAAGAGGTGTTCTTGCAAAGTGCATCAGCTAATGCTTTTCCTATATCTGATCCAAGTTCATTACTATTGAGATTCAACGTTGTTAAGGAGGTGTTCTTGCAAAGCGCATCGGCCAATGCTTTTCCTCCTTCTGGTCCAAGTTTATTATTATAGAGACTTAACGTTGTTAAAGAAGAGTTCTTGCAAACTGCATCGGCTAATGCTTTTCCTCCTTTGGATCCAAGATTATTACTATTGAGATCTAATGTTGTTAATGAGGTGTTCTTGCAAAGCGCATCAGCTAACGCTTTTCCTACTTCGGATCCAAGTTTATTATTATTTAGATTTAGTGTTGTTAAGGAGGTGTTCTTGCAAAGCGCATCTGCTAATGCTTTTACTCCTTCTGACCCAAGATTATTCTTCTCAAGATTTAACATTGTTAAAGAGGTAATTTTGCAAAGTGCACATGCTAATGCTTTTCTTTCTTCTAACCTGAGCCTATTTGAAGTAAGATTCAATGATGTCAGTATGGTGTTCTTGCAAAATGCATCTATTAATGTTTCTCCCCCTCCAATATTATTGTCTCTAATATCTAAATCTTTTAGAGTAGTGTTCTTGCAAAGTGTTTTGACTAATGTGTACCCTCCTTTTAATCCAAGTTCATTATATCTGAGATCTAGTGTTGTTAAGGAGGTGTTTTCACAAAGGGCATCTGCTAACGCTTTTCCTCCTTCGGATCCAAGATTATTACTATTGAGATTCAACGTTGTTAAGGAGGTGTTCTTGCAAAGTGCATCAGCTAATGCTTTTCCTCCTTCGGATCCAATTTTATTACTATTGAGATTCAATATTGTTAATGAGGTGTTCTTGCAAATAGCATCTGCTAATGCCTTTCCTCCTTCAGATTCGAGATCGTTATTATAGAGATTTAATTTTGTTAAAAAGGTGTTTTTGCAAAGTGCAGCAGCTAGTACTTTTCCTTCTTCAGATACAAGATTATTTTTCTTGAGATTTAATGTTGTTAATGAGGTGTTCTTGTAAAGTGCATCAGCTAATGCTTTTCCCACTTCAGATCCAAGATTATTGCCCCAAAGATTCAAAATTTTCAGTGTGAAGTTCTTGCAAAGTGCATTAGCTAATGCTATTCCTACTTCGGATCCAAGATCATTATACGTGAGATCTAATATTGTTAAGGAGGTGTTCTTGCAAAGTACATCTACTAATGCTTTTCCTACTTCTGATCCAATATAATTAAAACTGATGTCCAAAGATATTAAGGAGGTGTTCTTGCAAAGTGCATCAGCCAATGCTTTTCCTCCCTCAGATCCAAGATTATTACTACTGAGATTTAACATTGTTAAGGAGGAGTTCTTGCAAAGTGTATCTGCTAATGCCTTTTCTACTTTGGATCCAAGTTCATTATAACGGAGATTTAACGTTATTAAGAAGGTGTTCTTGCAAAGTGTATCAGCTAATGCTTTTCCTACTTCTGATTCAAGATTATTATCATAGAGACTTAACATTGTTAAGGAGGAGTTTTTGCAAAGTGCATTAGCTAATGCTTTTCCTCCTTCGGATCCAAGATTATTACTATCAAGATTTAATGTTGTTAAAGAGGTGTTTTTGCAAAGTGCGTCAGCACATTAGCTAATGCTTTTCCTCCTTCGGATCAAGATTATTACTATCGAGATTTAACATTATTAAAAAAGTGTTCTTGCAAAGTGCATCTGCTATTGCTTTTCCTATGTCGGATCTAAGATTATTATTGTTGAGATTTAACATTGTTAAGGAGGTGTTCTTGCAAAGCGCATCAGCTAATTCTTTCCCTCCTTCTGATCCAAGATTATTATAAGTGAGATCTAACATTGTTAAGGAAGTGTTCTTGCAAAGTGCCTTTGTTAGCTCGTTTAAATATTTCAATTCGCATCCATTGAGAGAAAGATTCCAAGTTGAAGTGCTTTTTTGATCTTCAGGGCTATGATGGCAGTTTTCGAGTATTTTCTCAAAAAATTCTAATGCTTTGAGAAATTTGCGTTGGTTGAAACATTCTCATGCTTCCTTTCTCAAATTTTCAAGAAAACTACTGTTCTGCTCTGAAGTATTCAAATTTATCATGCCAGATAAATAAAGTGGAGATAAAGTTGAAATTTCAAGTGAATTTTTTAATATATTTGTATTAACTTGACTTGAAGAAACTTTACTATTTTGTGATGATGTTTCAATAAAATCATGTTGATACAAAGTTTTAATAGGAATGAGTTGCTTTAAAGTATTAAAAATCAATTTTGTTTCTGGGCAATTGACAGGATCGTTGTCCCAACATTTTTGATAAAGTTCAACATATTGAGATGATGTACCTTCTATTGGCTTTTCTCTATTTCCTTGGAATATGTGAATAACGAGAGTATCTCTGGATTGAAAGGTTTGAAATGGTGGCCTTCCGCTTGAAATTTCCCAAAGAATTACACCAAGACTATAAACATCAGATTTCTTATTACGTTTGTATTTTGAATTGACAAAACATTTAGGATCAATATATGCCGGCATTCCATGAACGATTGAGTTTGAGGTCATAGACATTTCATTTATCTGCTTTAATAGTCCAAAATCTGTAATCTTTGGTTGTCTTTGATGAATTAAGATGTTTTTCGAATGCTATATAATTATTATTATTTTTTTTTTTTATATTGCCAAACGTAGAAACTTTATTAGTCATGATAAACACCTTTTTACAGAGCAATTGATATACAGTTTTTAATTACATTTGTACTACTATTACTAGTCACTCAATATGGCATTATACTCCTTATTTTCCTATATTACTTTTCTATTAACTATTTCAAGCCAACTTCAAGCTAGGATCG